AATGTGCGACATACAGTATATTAGTACGTATTCATATTAAATAATAACGTTTCGACCTACTTACTCTGTTAAATAACGTTTATAAAATGATTTAAAGTGTTTGTAGTAATAAATTTGCTAAGCACATTAAATACATTTTCCTAATTGAAGAAATAATTAAAATCCGCTATAGATTTTAATTCCTAATAAAATACAACCTACGAAGCTCATATACTTTTGAAATAACGTATAAACATTTTTGCTAATTTTATAAGATAATTAGATCCAATCCTTCGCCACCTCGTGTAAATAATATGGAATAAACTGATGACATTGATCAAGACTTCAAATTTTATGGTCACGTGATAGGTATATCAACCGGTCACCATGTTGAGTGTGTTTGGGAGGACGTGTTCAAGTATTTTAAAGACCACAAAACCTGCAGCATCTCTATCTAAAATACAAGAAACTACTTTTAAAATCATTCCAACTTTATGTTCCACAAGTAGGTATTTCAAACTAAATAAATAATAGTGTCTTTAATCATTGCCATATGAAACCACAAAATGGCGTTGGGGGACTCATGAGTATGAGAGCCACTGTTTGTTTCAAGTTCAATACTAGTACTCACTAGCAGTAGTAGGTAGGCTTAAGTACATAGGATAGGGGCTGTTATAATTTGTAGTGCGCATATTGAATACAATTATTATGGGGAAGGGGGGAGCAGTGCTAACTGCAACAGTGACTACATTTTTCTGTAGCAGGACTATAGCATTCTGCAGTGTTGACATTTCCAACTTTGCGTGAGGACATCTGCGCTGTTATTTTCTTTCAATTTGGGATTTACACCAGTAATGAGTTCTTGTTATATTCAGAGTTGAATTAAAATTTCAATTCCAAACTTTCTAGAAGATAATAAGGAAATTAATATTAAGCCAGACCAAAAAAAATTATTGTTTTAGGGATTTTTATGTCTAATTTTGATATTTCTTTTTTTTTGGGGGGGGGAGCAATGGGAATGGAAAATTGCAGCACCAAAAATTAAAAATATCAATGCTTACTTGTTGCATTTATGTTCTTTATAACTAAAATATCCTTTCTACACATCTGACTTATGTACTGGTTATTGTTTAATGTTTGTTTTGAGTTGTAGTAGTGTTATATTGTTGTATTCCTAAATATTGTTTAAGGACAACAAGGGATCTTGTGGTCCATCTAGGCCATTACAACCACTATATTAAACTAAAATAAAAAACACTCGAAGCATTCGATTATCATTGTCAAGCTTTCCGTTAAACTAACTGTATCTACCACATCTGAAAGCAACCAGTTTCGAAGGCCAACCACCCTGCTAGAAAAATAAAGCTGTCTTAACTAAAGATGATTCCTACTGAGCCAAAATATATATTTGTGTACATTAGTCCTACCATTCTCGCCATTAAATACGAACAAGTATGATGCATTGAAACTAATAGTTCCCATGACAATATTCAAGAGAAAACAGTTTCAGAGATCTTAACCTGTCCTTGTATGAAAACCTCTCCATCCAAGCTATCATTCTAGTAGTTCTCCTCTGAACCCTTTCCAACAATTCGTCATCCTTACCTTAGGACTGAACATGATACTCCGAATGTGGGCTAACCAGTAACGCATACAGTGAGATCATAACTTCTCTACACTTGTATTCAATATTTCTGTAGAAGTTAAAAAAAAATCTCCATTTCTTTCATCTCATGATATACTCTAAATTCTATTATAAAGCAGTAGCATCGAGCAACAACTAAGAGCTTAATATCATCAGCAAATTTAAATTATTTGTAGACCATTTCTTCATTGATGTAAATCAAAAAGAGCATAGATCCTTACTTTGAGCCCTGAGGTACCACACTTGTGAAAGTAATTCAGTTTTACTGAACCCCCATTTATAACAACCCTCTTCTTTGTAATTTAAATAATACATATTTTCATCACAACTATATCTTCAGTTTTGGGATTCCTTTGTCACCTGGGGTGCTTATTTATCCTCGTTGGAATTCACCTCTGGTACATTTTTATATTTTCTGCCCAACACCCATGGTTACCGATTTCTAGTATATCTGAAGTTATTTTGACTTCCAAACAAGAAAGATATAATTATTAATAGAGTTTCTTCAATTAGGACTTACATTATTTAAGCTGTGTGTTTCCTAGGCAACCCTAGTATTTCTATATCTTCAAACACCCCTGTTCACAGATTTAGGGGTATCTTGTATATGTATGTGTGTTTTATCAAAGAAAATTTGACTCCCTTAAATCACATCTCTCTCTCTTGCATTAGTCACCCTTTAGACGAAGCTCGATGAGCGAGTGTTTCTCTAGGATGACGTACGTCAATACAGTCTGTTTTATCAGTTCATCCAGTTAGGACTCTTGCATGCTACTTTACCTTTGCATTTATCCTGGACAACCCAAATATTTACTGTATCTTCCAACATCTTTGTTGACATATTTGGGGTTGTAACATTTTTGGATATCTGTTTAGAGATGTTTTTTAAAAGGGTTTATTTATATGTTTATATCAAAAAACATAGTGCGTTTGTTCTAGACACACACTCTACGCTGGAGCTCCGTGAGACTGTTGTTGTCTTTTGAAAGTGTACTAACAGTGATGCCTTGGTAAACACCTTTATCACTTGCATAGTATTGAGATTCAACTCTATGTCTCTGCTCCAACCATGTTTTCTTTTTATGCCTTGATGTTTCCACTGGCCTTGTATTGTTGAGCACACCCTTTTTTTTGGTTCTCCCTAGGTGCCCATTGATGTGTCTGGGTTGTGACTGCCAAGCTATTTTAGATGTGACTATTGCCTCTGGAGTATGTCCATTCACAATGCAGGACATAGTATTCCTCTTACCTGTTTATACCACCACCTGTATCCCATCTTTTGTTCTTCTGGTGCTACACACTGTTACTACTTGTACAATTGACCCCTATGGTACTATCAACAAGGGCATTGTGGGTGAAGACGTATCCTTTTGAAAATAATTCTTTCTTTCTGGGTGTCCTTTAGGCCCTGTCTCTTCTATAAGACTAGTCTGTTTCATTTGTCTTTACTGGGCTCCATTTCTAAGAATATGTTTCTCATGGAATCTACACCTACTCTGGCTACAGTGTTTTGTAGTCATGCTAGGTGGGAGAGTGGGGTGTTAGTGATGCGTATGGTATGTAAGTACGTAAAGGACATTCAGAAATTTCGAATCACATGCTTTGTTGACAAAATGACTTCAAACTCAACAAGGAAAGGCTTTCAGATGTAAGTGCCTGTTCTAAGTTCATTTTAATTCTAAAAATGTAAAATTTTATATATATAAAGCCACTCCTTCCCCTCTTTTTGTATTCTTATCATAATAAAACAGCCAGTAACTGTATTTCAAAGAAATTTATGTCATAAAATTGTCTACATTTAACCAGTTTTTCAGAATTCTCTGTTCTGACCATTTCTTTGAAGTCATCTATTTTATTTTGTATACTTCTAGCATTAGAATAGTAACAATCCCATTTCTGTTATTTTCTTCTACACTACACTGCTACCTTATTTTTTCTCTGTACATTTAGTTTATCTATTATAGTCCTAGTTTACAGCTGACCTTATAGGTAAGTTAATAACCTTGCAGACAAGTTGGACTGTACTTTGTTATTTATATTTTTACTGATGTGCTATTAATAATAGTCTGTGTTATTTATAAGTTTCATGGAAGGAGACTGTTAAATCATATTTTACTAATTTTTTTTTTCTAGGACTGATTTATTACATGAAATGTTTTTATAATCTGACTGTTTGATTTCTGATACGAATTGAGTGTTTTCCAATGATTTACTGGCATTCGTGTGCATGATAATTGAGTGTTTTATGGAATGAATTAAGCATGCAATGTAAAGTAATGGTGTTTTAATGAATATTCCGTGAATTTAACTAATTATTAAATATTTTCTTACAGATAAAAAATATGCAACAGCAGCAGCAAAGCCAGGCCACAACTATGGAAAAATTGTGGCAGTTATTGGGGCCGTCGTTGATGTGCAGTTTGAAGACGATTTGCCCCCTATTCTTAATGCCCTGGAGGTTGAAGGTCGAAAACCAAAGTTAATTTTAGAAGTTGCCCAACATTTAGGTAAGTTTTGTTTATTTTGTGCAGTGAAAGGTAGAATGTAACAAGTGAGGAACTTAAGTTATCCAATACTGTAGACATAACTTTTTGAAAACTATATCTAATTAATATTTATAACACATCCAGTTGATATCTCTAAACACATCCAGTTGATATCTCTAAACATCCAGTTGATATCACTAACACACATAGTTAATATCTCTAAACACATCCAGTTAATATCTCTAAACATGTCTAGTTAATATCTCTAAACACATCCAGTTGATATCTCTAAACACATCCAGTTAGTATCTCTAAACACATCCAGTTAGTATCTCTAAACACATCCAGTTAGTATCTCTAAACACATCCAGTTGATATCTCTAAACACATCCAGTTGATATCTCTAAACACATCCAGTTAAGATATTTAAATATATCCAGTTAGTATCTCTAAACATGTCCAGTTAAGATCTCTAAACACATCCAGTTAAGATCTCTAAACACATCCAGTTAAGATCTCTAAACACATCCAGTTAATATCTCTAAACACATCCAGTTAAGATCTCTAAACACATCCAGTTAATATCTCTAAACATATCCAGTTAAGATCTCTAAACACGTCCAGTTAATATCTTTAAACATGTCCAGTTAATATCTTTAAACATGTCCAGTTAATATCTCTAAACATGTCCAGTTAAGATCTCTAAACATATCCAGTTAATATCTCTAAACATATCCAGTTAAGATCTCTAAACACATCCAGTTAAGATCTCTAAACACATCCAGTTAATATCTCTAAACATGTCCAGTTAATATCTCTAAACATATCCAGTTGATATCTCTAAACATATCCAGTTAGTATCTCTAAACATATTCACTTGATATCTCTAAACATATCCAGTTAGTATCTCTAAACATATTCAGTTGATATCTCTAAACATGTCCAGTTAATATCTCTAACACACACATTAATATATCTAAACACATCCAGTTAGTATCTCTAAACTTGTCCAGTTAATATCTCTAACACACACATTAATATATCTAAACACATCCAGTTAATATTTCTAAACATGTCCAGTTAATATATCTAAACACATCCAGTTAATATCTCTACCATACAGTTAATATCTCTAAACACATCCAGTTAATATCTCTAAACATATTCAGTTAATATCTCTAACATAAAGTTAATATCTCTAACATACAGTTAATATCCCTAAACACATCCAGTTAATGGTAGTATTAGTTATTATAGTTTTGATGTTTTAAGTTCTTCAGTTCTCAGATCTGTAACTGTTTCTAATGGTTGGCTAAAGTTCATAATAAATCACCAATACTTGTGTTCCTCTGTTGGAAATTAAGTTGGTGAAAATAATTAGCAGACAGTTTTAAGATTTTGAAAACACTCTGTAAGTCAACAAGTTATAATTATGGAAGAATTATTTCAAATTCCTAAACTACTAACTCATATACACAGATTTTAAAGTGTTTTTATATGTTTAGTGGTTTTTTCAAACTGTGGCACTACTGTGAAGTTTTGAAGAGGTTTTGATATTTTGTGCTTTATAATCAGTAGAAATAAGGCCAGAAAGAAATCAGTTTGAGAGTAATAGCAAGGAAATAGGTTTATCTATTTTTTTTTATTACACTTATGACCATGAAAGTGTAGAGGATATTCATGCTCAGTCACAAAATAAATATGATACACTATATTTCCAACAGTTAAGCTGATGTTAACTTTAAGGTTGGTAACATATTCTAAAGAAAACAGTAGTGGTTCTGTTACTATTCTAATTTCTGAACTACTTTTTCAAAAGAAACTATCATGACTATCTCTTTTTTGTGACTAAAAAAGTGTTCTGTATGGTTAATAAAAAAAATACTTTGTTTTAAAGAATCCAATATCTAACAATGGAATGAAACAGAATAATACAGACTGGCTCTGTCTTAGGTGAAAACACTGTTCGAACAATCGCCATGGATGGAACAGAAGGTTTAGTCCGAGGCAACAAAGTTCTGGACACTCAGTCTCCTATTAAGATTCCCGTAGGACCAGAAACGCTAGGTCGTATCATCAATGTTATTGGAGAACCCATTGACGAGCGAGGACCTGTCACCACAGACAAGTACTCTGCTATTCACCAAGAAGCTCCAGAGTTTGTAGAAATGAGTGTAGAACAAGAAATCCTCGTCACAGGGATCAAAGTTGTAGACTTACTGGCTCCCTACTCTAAAGGAGGAAAGATTGGTAAGCATGTACCTAAAAATGGACCTACTGCTAAACGTCAGATCAATCGACTTTTGTTTGAAGGTGTTGAAGAGCTTGTTATTTAGCTAATATTGTTCTCATGTAAAGCTGAACAATTAATGGAATTTGTTGATAAATTAGTCACTGGGCTATTTAATTGATTACATTCAACTAATTGTTGGACTTGTTGTTAAACAACTCTGTTCAACTATGTATCAGCTGCCTAGTGTCGGCTAAAAATACGAAGAATTAAATTGTGGTGGAATACTACAAGTTCTTCAAATACCTATAGAATGATAGGTTTATTTTTTTGTGAGTGTAAAACACTTAAATACACCATTTTGTTTTTTGATACCTCACTACCATAAAGGCTTGGTTTGGTCTGAAGTTTCATTCAGTGGTAGTGTCCAGGGTCACTGATGAGAAGTGAAATTCTCCGAAACTAGTCTGGCTCACAGACACACCCCCATTGAAAGAATAAACCATTCCAAGCTTTTACTTCTTGTTAAACAAATGTTTAAACAATTCAACTAATCAGTTATTCTTCAATGGCAAGGCTTTAAAAAAACAACCCACAACACTAAAAATGAGAGTCTGATATCGAAGGTGGGCATAGCACAGATAGCCCATTGTATAGCTTTGTGCTTAACAATAAAATTACTTGGATAGTTAGAATAATTGAAAATAATAATTATCAAAAACCCTAATTTCAATTTGACTGTAGTTGGTTATTTTCTTGAGCTATGAAACTGATCAAGTAAGCTGAAGAAACTTGAATAAATCAAAAATCATAATAGCAATATTCCTGTGATTACTCAATAGTTGGAATAATAAGGAATGCTAATTTTGGTCAGTTGATTAGTTTGTGATTTTAATTGATTCAATCATAATTTCGATTGATTGATTATTTTATGTGACGATACTTGCTTAGCTCTAAAAATAAACAGTTTTACAGAAAGGTTGATAGTTAAACATTAAAGTAATTATATAGTTACTACATGTGTAGAAATGATTGTGGGAGTAAGTTGATAGTTAAACATTAAAGTAATTATATAGTTACTACATGAGTAGAAATGATTGTGGGAGTAAGTTCATAGTTAAACATTAAAGTAATTATATAGTTACTACATGAGTAGAAATGATTGTGGGAGTAAGTTC